TCAGCTTCTTCACCATCATTGTCATCAGCTTCTTCACTGTCGTCATCGTCAGCTTCTTTGTCGTCGTTGTCGTCCACTTCTTCATCATCGTCATCGTAATCGGCGTCAGTGGCACCAGCGGCATCATCGTCGTCAGCTTCTTTGTCGTCGTCCTCAGCTTCTTCGTCATCGTCATCAGCTTCTTCAGTGTTGTCGTCGACGTCTTTGCTGTTGTCGTTGTCGTCAACTTCTTCACCGTCATCGTCAACTTCTTCACCGTCTTTGTCGTCTTGTTGGTCATCGCCGCTGTCATCTTCGTCGTCATCTTCTTTGTCGTCGTCTTTGTCATCGTCGTCGTCTTCTTCATCGTCGTCGTCTTCTTCATCGTCGTCGTCTTCCTCATCATCTTTATTGTCATCTTCGTCATCATCGTCTTCGCCGTCATCATCGTCTTCTTTGTCGTCATCGTCTTCCTCATCATCTTTATTGTCATCTTCGTCATCATCGTCTTCGCCGTCATCATCGTCTTCTTTGTCGTCATCGTCATCTTCAAATTCTTCACCGTCGTCGTTGTCAAATTCTTCACCATTGTCGCCGTCATCGTCATCGTCAGCTTCTTTGCCGTCGTCGTTGTCACGTTCTTCTTCATCGTCGTCATCAGCTTCATCATCGTCAACTTCTTCAGGGTCGTCGTCGTCGTCGTGATCTTCATCATCGTTGCCGTCAGCTTCTTCACCGTCGTTGTTGTCGTCAGCTTCTTCACCGTCGTTGTCGTCAGCTTTTTCGTCGTCATCGTCATTGTCGTCAGCTTCTTCATTGTTGTCGTCGTCTTTGTCATCAGCTTCATCGTCGTCAGCTTCTTCAGCGTCATCATCAGCTTCTTCACCATCATTGTCATCAGCTTCTTCACTGTCGTCATCGTCAGCTTCTTTGTCGTCGTTGTCGTCCACTTCTTCATCATCGTCATCGTAATCGGCGTCAGTGGGTCGTCATCGTCATTGTCGTCAGCTTCTTCATTGTTGTCGTCGTCTTTGTCATCAGCTTCATCGTCGTCAGCTTCTTCAGCGTCATCATCAGCTTCTTCACCATCATTGTCATCAGCTTCTTCACTGTCGTCATCGTCAGCTTCTTTGTCGTCGTTGTCGTCCACTTCTTCATCATCGTCATCGTAATCGGCGTCAGTGGCACCAGCGGCATCATCGTCGTCAGCTTCTTTGTCGTCGTCCTCAGCTTCTTCGTCATCGTCATCAGCTTCTTCAGTGTTGTCGTCGACGTCTTTGCTGTTGTCGTTGTCGTCAACTTCTTCACCGTCATCGTCAACTTCTTCACCGTCTTTGTCGTCTTGTTGGTCATCGCCGCTGTCATCTTCGTCATCATCTTCTTTGTCGTCGTCTTTGTCATCGTCGTCGTCTTCTTTGTCGTCGTCGTCTTCCTCATCATCTTTATTGTCATCTTCGTCATCATCGTCTTCGCCGTCATCATCGTCTTCTTTGTCGTCATCGTCATCTTCAAATTCTTCACCGTCGTCGTTGTCAAATTCTTCACCATTGCGCCACCTTCATCGTCAGCTTCTTCGCCGTTGTCGTCGTCACGTTCTTCTTCATCGTCGTCATCAGCTTCATCATCGTCAACTTCTTCAGGGTCGTCGTCGTGATCTTCTTCATCATCGTTGCTGTCAGCTTCTTCACCGTCGTTGTTGTCGTCAGCTTCTTCACCGTCGTTGTCGTCAGCTTTTTCGTCGTCATCGTTGTCGTCAGCATCTTCACCGTCGTCCTCGTCAGCTTCTTCACCGTCGTCGTCATCGTTGTCAGCCCCTTCCCTATCTTTTTCGCTGCCCGCTT